TTATTCATCAATCATAATACAATTAATATTATAAAATTTATATATTATCTTAATCATATTTACTATCTAAAATCATGTTCTAAGAGTAGTAACTTATAAAATACCAAATATAGTACTGCGGCTGGAAAAAGAGCATACACTTGTGGTCCAGTTTTCAACACGTATATTTATATCGATCTATCTTTTGGACATAAATAAACTGAATTCATTTACAGTTCTCATGTTTCTCCACGTGATATATATATTGATCTACTTAATGATCTCCAAAACATAAGTTTTAGGTTTTAGGTCGAATTACAAATGCTTCGACCTTATTAAGAAAGTCTAGCATTCATTCTTTTTTTATAAACCACAAACCTCGCTCCACGGCTAATGTGGCTTGTTTGCGTTACTTGCTTGGAATTCAGGAAACTGAGTGCTGGATTATAAATAGGAATTAGCACGTACTGTCGTTTTCGTGTTGGATAAACGGTATGCCGTATTTACGAGCGGCCCGTTTTCCGCTTGTATTCTACGAAACGACTTCGAATCCTCTGAGTGAGAGAGAAGGATTAAGGAAGTCCAGTGAAGCTTTGAAGAGGGTAGAACCGTCCTCTTACTTCTCTCTGGTATTGAATGCTGCAAAATTTTGGTTGGTTTTTGTTTTCATTTTGTCGTTTACAATCTGCCCGTTGGGTATTGAAAACGATGATTGAAAACTTTTTTTTGTTTTTCTTTTCAAAACTTGTATTTATTCATTTATAAGACTCAATTTTAAATATATCATGCTAAGTATTTGGAAGAAGAAAATGATTTCAAATAAAATAGTGAATGATAATCATAAATTGTCAATTGCAACTGTTATAAAAGTATATATGTTTACAAAGCAATTAAACCTGTTAGATTCCAGATTTTTATCTGATTAAGATGTACCAAGAGAACATCAATCTTCGAATCCCATGCCTTATTTAAGTAATTCTTTTTTTTATGTAATAACAAGTCTGCAGGTACAATATATATGATCAATAATCATAATGATTCGAAAATGATTCGATATTTTGATATTAAATAAGGATATGGGTCTGAAAACTATTGCATGAACAACGATAGAAACTGTACCAAATTGGATATTATGCTAGGTATAGCGAATTACTATTCCGACTACAAAAAAGATCTCTTTTTTTTTCTGATCAAAGATCTATTTCTTGCTTATATAAAAAAAAAATCTATTTCTTTTTCCATGATTTGGTTTTCGTAAACAATCATTAATTTAATTATATTGAAGATCTAACTAGTTTAGCAGTTTAGTTTGATATAGTGTCAGTACTAGTCTAAATCACGAATGCATATATACAATAAAATGTAACTGAAAGTTTGAAACTGTATAAGAACACACATACGTATTTTTCAAGCTCGTACATACTTGATAACTGATTAAGAAACAGGGGGTATCTATTTATGAAGCACGTAATAAAACAATAAAACTAGAAACAAATATATAAAAAATGCATTAAAAATATACATGCATTAAATTAATTTAGCCAACACAATAACGATACAACGTACACGTATAACGAATACGACACAGTCGACAACAACACTCACAGACACGCCATGAACTGATACTGATACAAGTCTCCGTCTTCCAGCCACGTGGCATCATCTCCGGCCACGAAAGGCTCCGGAGACCAACCACCTCCGGTCATCATTAGCTCCGGTAGCTCTATGCCTTCCCAAAAATCATCCCCACCGTCGATATCCGCCACGTCATCATCTCCCGTTTTAATGATCTTGACGGCGTTGGCCGCTTTGGCCGCAGCGACTTGGATATCTCTGGCCGTACACGTGGACGGTCGAGGTAGATCGTCGATTTCGTCGGGGAAATTGAGCTGAGCTTTTCTTCCTTTTAGACAAAGAGCCGCCACGTCGTAAGCTTTAGCCGCCATCTCCGGCACCGGAAAAGATCCGAGCCAAATCCGAGATTTTTTCCGGGGCTCTCTGATTTCGGAAACCCATTTTCCCCATCGGCGTTTTCGGACTCCGTGGTACACTGGATGCCTCGTAGTGGAGCTAGTTTCTCTACCGCGGCCGCCGCAAGATTTAACGGCTGAAACGGCGGTGGTTTGTTCGTTGTTGGTAAGTAGTGGTGGTGGTTGTGATAGTTTCATTCTTTTTTTGTAACATGAAAAAGAGTTTGTTATGTGGTTAGTCACACACTGTTATCAACATTTATAATATCATCCAATCTGCCCCATTTTCTAACCAAAGCGTTACTGTTCCATGTACGAATTTACATAAATGCCCCCAACATTATAAAAATTAGATAATCGAGTAAACAAAACTATCTACGGGCGATTACTTTTTTGGATTTCCCATTAGATGTTTTAATGTATTAGTAAACAGATGTAAAATCAAGGAGTATATTATCTTATATTCGCATATATGGATTATGGTCTCTCGAACATGCATGGATTGTTACAAATAAACAGCTGAATCAATTTAAACTATATAGTTTAAGTAGCAAAAAGTTATTATTAAATAAAATGTCGCATAAGAACAAAAGTTAAGACCATGGTTTATTGATGTACCC